AATAAGAATTTGCAAAGTGGCTTTTAAGAAGAACTGCTGTAATGGTATTCTGAGGCTGACCATAACTGAGCCATTATAGGCTGACATACTGAGGCCCACTGCTCAGTTCAGTTTCATTTCACTCTTTCTTCATAAAAATAACTTTCCAAACTCTGCATTTGGAGAGGTCTTGTAGCACCTCTGAGACTAATTGAAAGAAAGAAGTTAGCACATTAGCTTTCTTAGACAAATGCATCTGAGAAAGTAGACTTAAGTCTATGAAAGCTCATGCTGCCAATTTCTTTTTCAGTTAGTCTCAAAGGTGCTACATGTTCTCTCTACATACTGATTCTACAAACTATATCTTTGAATTCTGCATAAGGAGTTATAGATATCATAGATAATAGCCAATTGATAGGACTGTCCTTCATGAATTTGTCTAATTCCTCATCTAAGTAAATGAACATGACCATTGTTCTTAACTGGGTTAGGGTTAGGGTTAGGGTTGACTCTGATCTATGGTGATCCTATAAATGAGAGACCTCCAAATCACCCTGTCATCAACAACCCTGCTCAGATCTTGCAGACTTGGGGCCATGGCTTCCTTGATTGTGTCCATCTACTTATAGTATGGTCTCCCTCTTTTCCTACTGCCTTCTGTCTTACTAATCATTACCATGAATAATGTTTTCCATGATATGTCCAAAGTATCACCACCCAATTCTATAGGTAATCTATGTGCTGGGTAAAGGTAAGGAGTACTTAATTCTTTTGTTGCAAATCTTCTTATCATTTAGATTTCAGTAGGTGAACACATCATGAGAGAAGAAGAAAATGTTTCCTCACTTTCTCTGTACAATGCCCCAACAAATGAAAATCATTATGTGGTTATGTAAGGAGAAGTCCTTTGGGACTTTAGGCTGGTCTAGAGCTGGGTCACTCACAAGGCTACTTGATCAAGAGAAGAGAATAATGATTAACTTTTCTTTTGGTACCTTTCCTCCTCATCTATGGAAGCTTCTTCTCTGACTGACAATTGAAACCAGTTAAATTGAAATGCAGGGAGGAAGGGATGAAGATAAAATAAATCCATGAACAATAAAGGAATTAAATTATGAAATCTTGTAACATCTATCAGAAGTCTGTTTTCTAATGGGGGAATTAGTGAAGGGTAAGAAATTCTTTCAGTTTGTATTATAACGTGTTCTTACCTAAATTTGTAAAGGAATCTCTAATACACAAAACTGAGTTATCTATCAAAACCTGAACTACTCTGAATTTTTGAGAGGAGTTCTTCAATAAAAACGATATGTGAAGGAATGCATGAATCAAAGGAAGGCAACTTTAAAAATGTAATATGTTAAGGATACTACTTGCAAATAATGCATGTATTAGATAACAATTCATGGGGGGGGGGGTGAAATGTGTACAAAAATGTATATCCATATTCATGAGTACTTTTAAAATTCCAAAGTTCAAAATAAAAGGAATTTCAGACTGTAAAAATATTCCCACAATTTGTAAAGGAATCTCTAATACACAAAACTGAGTTATCCATCAAAACCTGAACTCAACCCAAATTTGAGATTGTAGAAATAACACTGTAAATTAAACTGAAACTGATAGAACCAACAATCTCTAAGTAGGATACAAATGGGTGAAATAAAACAAGTAAGAAATGCTTCAGTAGTTTATGCCTAAAACTAAATGCTAGCAGTCATAGTATTTCTTTTTGATAGGAGCTTGTGTGTTTCTAATAGGAGAAACTGCTATTCTTCTTTCTGATAGTATCCCAGCAGGTCATGGAATAAGCTCTCAAGGAAAATAGGTTTCTTAAATAAGATGTTCTCTCTTTATTTCTTATATGACATTTACAGATGTTTTATTAAAAATTACTCCCCTTTTATTCTCTGTTAAGATTATTTATTTTCAAGGCAGATGCTGTTTGAGACTTATCATTAAACCCATCAGGAAATGAAGTTTCTGTAAACCAAACAAGATTGTATGCCAGCATCAGGGACATTGCAGGATGAACTGAATTGTCAGCCAACCAAAACTGTTTGGATTACAATGTTCAGAATTCTTTGCTTCTGTACATTTTCTGAAGCAAAGATCGTAGGGTTACAGAGGGTTTAAAATCCACAGGAGGCACCAAGAAAACATTTTAAAGGGCTTCAAGCTTCATGTAGAGATTAAGGAAACCCACGTGGGAGAGGTTAATAGAGTAATGCCTTTGTTAGTGTTGTATTTTCTACTTATAACCCTTTATTCTTGTGCTCTCATACACAATTTTGACTTTGCAGTAGTTGCTGAAAAACCTTAAGAAGTCTGAAGCTCAATTCAAATAAAACATCTGTGTTTAGGCACCCTACCTGACCTGCATTTTACAAACAATATTTGAGTTTTAGTGGTAGGGATAAGGAAATGGACTGTGACAACCACTGAAGGCCCTGATCATTGCAAATAAAGCAACATTAGGTTTCATATGTGGTAATTTCTAGACCTCAAGGTTGCAGGTCAACAGCATAGTCCAATGCAAATAAAGTTCATCAGATGGAGATACCACTCAGAAGACCCCCGCTGACCAATTAGATTTATCTCGCAGGCTGTGCTGAAAGCAGGGCTCTTGTAGCTGACTTTAAGTTCCAGGCATGTTCCTTCAAGTACAAAGAGGGTAACAATGGAGAGAGTAGCCTCCATGAAAATATAATAGTTTTCCATGTTCATGTTAAAACAGTGCTCCTAGATCAATACCCATGTACAATACAATGTTCATGTTTCCCCCATCAATTTTGATGCAGAGTAAAGGAGGATGTTTGCCTTATATATAGTAGATGCATATTTGCCTTATATATAGTAGATGTGTGTGAAGACAAAGACATCACAGTGACCCATATCATTCTACTTTCATAGTAGTTTCATTCTGAGTTTTGTCTCACATATACAGTGTATGCACAGCAAACATGTGGCTAAGGGTGTAAAATAAATTTGTTGTGTTTACATTTCTCTACAAAAATATCCTTATTATAAATCCTGAAAATGTCAATGGGATAGATTTTATCTTGCCATAGAATTCTCATAAGACTGGTCAACTGAGCCTGGACATCAAGGAGAGTTGATAACACTCTTAACATCTACAATTTCCATCAAACATTTCAGAAATGCTCTTTAACATATTCTTTTCTATCTAGGGATGTACATCCTTGTTTGTCTTGAATCTCATTTTTTCAATTCTCATCTGCAAAACAGCAAGTCATTTTCAAATCCTCAGCAAGAGTATTAGCACTTCTGTGAATTCTGTTGTGTGTATTTATATCTTTTAATTTTGATATATTATGATTCCTGTTGCCTTTTCTCATAAAGACTGGAATTTGTGTGTATGTGTTTTTTATCAATAAGCCTGCCCTTATGGAATTCCTATGGTAAACTTTGCTTTGGTTTGTCCATACTATCATGGGTCCATCCTATGATATCCTAGGATTTCGAGCTTGGTGAAGTAGTTAGAATTCTTTGCTTTAGAGTTCTATTACTCTAGTTCCAAGTACTTTGCAAAATTACATATACCACTGGTATCCACAATTCTGTTTGACATAACAGAGGGAAAGTGTCCTATCTGGAAAGAAAATATATCAACTCTGTAGACTTTGTCCTTTGTTTTCTGACATCCATGAAGATTTGCAAACTTATTTTGTTACCCAGAATCACTCCAGGGGCAAAACTATCATGCTAGTGCTTTAAGTACATGTGAAAGACTAAAAGTATATGATTATTCAAGAGCATTCTGTATAGTCTCTGCATGCTTAAAAGGATAATCACTTCATCATGACACTGAAAATTACAATAATCACAGCCACAGTTTTTCATTCTTATGTCTTTGCAGTCCATTATGGAGGCTCTTTTTGACAAGGAAAATTGGTGGTTGCTGCTTTGACAGCAAAGGACAAATGCCTTGACATGGCACAGTGCTTCTTCCCAAATAATTAAATCAAAGTATGGTGTAAATCCCAATGGTGCTCTACTTTGGTAGTATTTCTATCAAGACCTACAGATGATAAATCCAATGTTTGATATTTATGGCATTCACCTATGGTTCAAGGTGAGAAGCAGCTGATGCTATTGAGTTCCTGTCTGGCTCAGCATGGAGCACCTTTTAACTCCTTGTGTGCACCAGTGGGCAAAGGCATACACCATAGTTTCCTTAAAAAACTGATAGCCTGCAGTATTTGGTGAGGATTGCCAATACATTTTATCATGGACCAATGAAATACTAAGTCCAGGATCAAGCTGGAGAATGGTAATGCTGTAGTTAGGGATGTGATGAAAACTTGTCACTCAACATATGGGATTTTTGGTTTTCTTGATACTCTGCTCAAGAATTTATGAGCTTCCACATTTGGTGCCTGCTCAAAGTAGGTATGAGAATTACAGATATTTAATTTGCAAAAGAAGTAAAGGGATAGAAACCTCAGTGAAAAATGTGATGCTCAGGACTTTTTTTTCTTAAGTAATAAAAGTAATGGTACCTCAGCCATTTGTTTTAATTTTGTAACTTTGAGTCAAGGCAATTTGAAATACTCCACTGGGCTATGGGAGGAGAGGGGAGGGGAGTGGGAGGAATTCATTTCTAAATATAAACACAGGGCATACTTCTTTGTTAGGCACTGTAGAAAGGAAAGGCAGCTGAATGTTTTATGGTGCTCTCTAGTTACCACCAAAAGCTTCATTAATTTATTTTATTGTTAAATTAGTAGTCACAGGATCTGGATGACTCAAGTCAGAAATTCATGAGAAACTGGATTTCTCATTTTACCTCACAAAACACTAAATGGATTTTTCATGTTTCTTCTACCCAGTCTTTCAGAAACGTGTTGTTGTTATGTGTCCCTTAAGTCATTTCTGACTTATGGTGACTCTAAGGTGAACCTATCATTTGGTTTCCTTGACAAGTTTCTTTGGGAGGGTTGCCATTGCCATCTTTTGAGAGAGTATGAATGGCCCAAGATCACCCAATGGGATTACATGGCCAAGCCAGGATTTGAACCCTGGTCTCCAGAGTCCTAGTCCAATGTTCAAACCACTACACCATATTAGCTTAAGAAATGTGGAGGCAGAGGCTACTCCAGCCACAATCAGGTCAGGACCATGGTGATTGCATGTCCCAATTCCAAAGTGGGCCATCGCCTGAGGTCCTAAACTGTGCCAGCCAGAAGTTGGTTTAAACTGACTCCTTTTTGCAGAGGCTTTGGACTCTGTTTTGCAATGTTGAAACATCTTCCGGGTTGGTTTTGTGTAAACTCCATGCACCAAATGTGGCTGGAAGCCACTTCTTTTGGCTGTGTGTTTCAGGCCTTAAACAAAAAGCTGTGTGAAAATGGAGTAAGTGATGAATGGCAGGGTACGCTACCTGACACTAGCTTCAGCTTCAAATTGTTCTCCCAATCATACATAAAGTCATAATTTTCTGCTTTGATTATGATACTTTTTCCTTGCTCAAGTTAGGACATTTTGATTGCTACTGGTACAGGCTGAAAAGGGTGGGAAGAGAAACTGGCATGAAGAGCTAACAACAGAGATGCTAAACCAAACCCATTTCAAATCAGTCTCAGCATATGAAGGTCCTTCCTAAAATTTCATTAACTCATTGATGAAACAATGAGTTTTGTGAGGGAGCAGATTCTCCTTCATCCTAAAATGAAAGTTAATATTCTGGAAATCAAATGTAAGGTTACTCCTTGCCATAGTGTGTTATATATTAACTCTCAGCTAGATAATTCGCTTCTATAGCTTGTGTTAAAGAGTGTTAATATATCTGTACATGTCAAGGAAGTGTAATTTATATACCTGTTGACGGAATCATATGTTCGGAGAGATAGTTTGGTACAATCTGCCTTTGTAATTATTAGATGTCATGTTTAATTGCATGCTTGAAAACTACCAGGTTACTCCTTTTCTGTGACATGTTGTGACTGAAGCAACCCACATCTAGTCATATTGCCCAGACATTGAAATATTTGTTCTAATTTGACAAAAATTACAATTATTCTTTTGTAGAATATCCTCTCCTCATGAATGTAAAATATGCACACACATTTTCCCATAATAATTATTGTCAAAACTTCATACAAAGGTAAAGGGCATGGATGTACGTTCTACAAAACCATTTATCTTGTGAAATATCTTGTAAAGTAAAATAGGGATCTAATGCATATATGCAAAAGAAAAGAATGCTGTTCAAATAATAGCCAAAGGATACTTCATTTTAAATTACAAACTTTGATGTCAGAAAAGTGCATTCCTGACACTTCTAGACTTAGTTAAAATGGGTAGACATGAATTTCGGATATAGGTGGAAAAAACAGTCAGATTAACTGTCTCCTGAATAGGAAAAAAATGTCAGCCTTTGCTTAAAAAAAAAAAAACAACAACTCTTGAATGTGCAATTTGACCATTATAGTAATTTTTTTTCCAAAATGAAATGAGTGTAATCTCCATTTACAATTGTAAAGTGCAATATATATAAATACGTCCAACATGGAGATGGCAATCTTTTAACCAGAATGCAGGTGTAAAAGCTGACCAACCTGTGAAGAAAATACAAAGCAGGGATGGAAAATATCAAAAACATGTTTTTGAAGTTCCAAGAAAACTTGAGAAGAATAATCCTGGACTGATGAGAAAATTTGCAGTTCAGGACTTAATTCTGTGCAAAATTCACATGTTGTTATTCAGCACAGGAAACAGCAAGGAAACATTTATGCTAAAGAAACATCTTTTTCTACGTGGAAAATAATATTTCATTGCAGAACAATTCATTTCTGCACAGAAAATGTTCTTTTTTTAACATACAGAGAAAAACTATTGGATTTGTTCAACATCATTGATTTGCACAGATTTTTCTGTACTGAAATTTTTTGTGCAGGAATGAATAATTCTGTGTTGAAATATTATTTTGCACACAGAAAATTCTGTATTCTATGCAAATCAACCCTGGAAGAAAATTGCTGAAATTACTCATTGCTACCTTTGAGATGAAACTCGGTTAAGAATTGCATCCCTAAGTAGAACTAGTGGCACTAACAGAGTTTAACAGAGAAAAAAGTTCTAACTGAGTTTTTTATATGTTAAATAATAAAATTCCAGAGCTGGGCTGGATATTTTGGCTACATTTACTATCTGTAGTTATTGTATTATAATATTTGCCTTGATGAAATTTTTAACACACTATTCTTGAACTACAAATATAAATCCTTTTCTTTTCTTTCCTTTTCTTTTCTTTCTTTCCATTTTTCTGTCGTGTAATGATTTCCAGAAATTGCCAGCTTTTCTTTCTATGCTTTTAATGTTCTGAGCATGTAGTGGTTTGTTTTGGCAGGCTTTTGTCAGGCTTCAAGGGGAGCGGTGGGCGGCAGAATAATAATTTTCTTTATATACACATTTTTTGTTTCTTCGGTAATCAACATATTCCTTCTATACACATCCTATTAATATTTTTATTTCCTTTCCTTAATGAATTCAATCAAGAATCTTTTCCATGGTACTACTGACAATATCTTTCCATGATGGTGGGACTGGGTGCTTATGTGAGACAAAAGGCTATGCTGACAGTAGACTTGCTACTGGAAGAATCTCCCAAGTCACACAACCTTCTGATGAAGGGCCAGAATAAAGGTGCTAAAAAACCATTGAATATAGTGCAGAAGCAACAAACAAATCCCATATTGGATCAGTCAGTGCCCTGGCCAACAAAGTCCAAGTCAGATTTTGGATTTCTTGGACATTGTTCGATGAATCAGGATTCAGGATTCAGGATTCAGGGCTAAGTATCTTTTGCTAGGCAACTAGGACAAGGTATGGTGAAGTTACTACAAGGTCAACGAAGCAAAATAAATGGACAGGAATAGAAAACAGATTAATAATGGAATGTCATTCTAAAGAAAGTCCATTAGTCCAAGAGCACCTAAAGGGAATGTATGCCATGTGAAAATAAATTTCTCCCAGATATCATCATCATCATCACCAACACCAACACCACCACCACCACCAACAACAACACCATCACTGATTTCAAAATATACTAGATAATCAGTTGAGAATGTTAACTTTGTATTAGTGTCTGCGTTCTACTATACCATGTGATTATCTAGTCGATGGGTGGCAAAGCCTCTGGCACCTCTTAGCTGAGCAGATGTGGAATCATGGAATATTTATGAACGTTCTCTCTGCTTTCAGAAGTTATGAGTGATGGAATATTCAAAACTGAAAATGAGGTTCACTATTTGCTCCAGTAGGCTAGAAAGTTTGGACTGAGATGTCCTGAAGTTATTATGTATGCATGTATGTATGTATGTATTTTAATATTTCTGTATTACCTCCTACCCCATGAGGGCTCCTGAAGTGATGAATAAATAAATAAATGGGGGAAAAACAATTAAAACAATACAAAAATTTAAAAATTAAAACATATTAAAATACTCTTTAAAATCTCATGAAAACAGTTTTAAAAACAATCCTAATCTCCAGTTTTGAAACAAAAGAGCAAATTCAAATGTTGAATGCCATGCAAAACAGCACTGGTTTGGCTGCCCACTGGAAGCTTAAAAGAGTTGGGGCCAGCCTAATGTCCTTAAGTATGGAGTTCTACAGTTGAAGCCGCTGCTACAGAGAAAACTTTATTTTGGGTACTCACTGAGCTAACTTCATAACATGTTGGGACACTCAGCAGAGCCTCCTCTGAAGAGCTCAGACTGATGGTTTTATCAATTTAAACATCTATTTTAAACACAGGAAATAGACAGGGAATCAGGTTTTTGAGAAGAAGGCATGATATAATCAGGGATACATCAATGAATTTCAGAACAAATAAAATATCATGAATAGAAAAACTTGGATTAAAAAGGCAGGTGATGTTGTCTCTTACATAAAAGATTTACATCATGCAAATTTAGCTACAGCTAGCCCTTTATAAAACACTACATTGGCTCTAATCTTCCAACAGACTTCTAGTTAAAGCTTGTTGTGTTTCCACCTGTTTCCATCTGCCTAGCAGTGTGGTCTAAGCATCTAGGAAGAAAAACATATGGCAGCTTATTCTAAGAAGTAGGTTCCTGAAGACCTGGGTTAATAGTTAACTTTGAAAATTTGAAATTTCAGATGGGGAGGAAATAGTCAGGGGCTGCTGCCACTCTACAGAAATAAAGCAGATTGACATCACTTTAACTTTGATGGCTCAATGCTATGGAATTTTGGGATTCTTAGTTTGGTGGGGCACCAGAGCTCTCTGACAGGGAAGGCTCTCTCAAAACTACAAATCTCAAAATTCCATAGCATTGAGCCATGGCAGCTGAAGTGGTATCAAACTACTTTACTTTAGCAGTGTGGCAAAAGCCCGAAATTATTTGTAGGGGAGGTGGGAGATGAAATTAAGCAGTAGACCCTGTAGCTCACTTAGGGGTAGTCATCAGTGGCCAAATAAAGTGGTTTCTGACCACTTTGAAGTCGGGATTGTTCAGATTATGCACAAGATGAAACTGGGAGGAAAGCTAAATGAAGCCACACTCTGGAGCTAAAAACCAAAGCGACAAGATGCTGGGACACTCTGGCTTAAGGCAGAAAATGTGCTTCATCACACCAGCATATAGACAGCATGGCACCAATATGGAACTGAGACACAGCAAAAATGTGATCGCCAATAATGCAATGGATGTAATGACAGCATACACAAATCATACAGTCCAATGGAGGTCATGGGGTGAAGGGTCATGTATGGTGGGCCTCCATGATTATGCTTTGCCAACATATTACTCTGCACATCAATGCACCAATGTCCTGTACAGGCTGTGCATCACATATGCAACTGTGTGGCAAATCATATCAGTGGGTATCCAATGGAATGGCATTAGGAAGGAAAGCGGGAGATAATTGGAAGTTGTGGATAATGTATTTGTGCAATGGTGTGCAGGCATGGTGAGGAGGCAACATTAACAAAATAACCATGCAGCATGGCCTGATGCTACATGGTGTGGACAGCCTGTGGGTGCTTGGCCTGCCTTCGGAGCAGGATAGGCAAACAGTGGGCTTTTGATCTGCTTTCAG